CGCCCTCGCCCCCGTCCGTGCTGCGGCTCCGGTTTCGCCCCAGGCTCGGGTGCAGCCAGCCCAGGAGCTCGGCCCGGTTGAGGTGTGAGCTTTGGGGGCTCCAGTGTCTGGTTCCGTATCAGGAACTTGGGGGTACGCTGCAGAGCTCGCCCTGGAAACGGCCTTTCCCCTGGTGCTTGTGCACCTTCACGTGTGTAAGGGGTGTTGCTTTTTTTTCGGCTGCTTTGCGCGCGTAGAAATAACCGTGTGCCTAAAGCTGTGAAACTGGGGGTGTTCCTGAGGCAGAGACGTGAGGCAACAGTAAGTGGGGGTGAGGCACAAGCCAATATTTTCAGTTTGTAGGTGAACATAAAGAAACTCTAAAGCATTTTGCAGATAAACCTCCCCTATTCCCCTGGTCACTGGCAGCTACTGCAAGTCCAGTTCGTTCTGCCGTCCCGGACCTGCTTGTGCTGGCTCGGGTGGGCGCAGAAACCGTCTTCTGTGAATCCCCCCAGCCCATCGGGGCCCCCAGAGCGGCTTGAAACAAGCCCACTGCCCTGATACTCCTGCGTCATGTCTAGTGAGAAATGAGCTGCTTGTCTTTGGTGTGTGATTTATCACTTCTTGCCTCTTAGCAAACAGAAGGATTCAAGAAGCGATGGTTCACCATGGACGACCGGAGGCTCATGTACTTCAAAGATCCCCTGGTAAGAGAAGGGTGCCTGGGCTGTCGGCAGGAAATAACCTGCAGTAAAGCTCAGTCTGATCGGAGAGCCGAGAGGCTCTGACTGTTAGGCTGGATCTACCAGGGGTCGGTGTGTAGTAACCTAGTGCAGTTATTTGCCAGAAGCGTGTTGGAAACCCCACGCGCTGGCTGCAGCTTTTTCTGTGGCTGGATTTTGAATTCCAGGATGTTGGGGCTGGAGGGGATCCCACATCTCGGTGGGCCTGACGGCCGGATTTATGTGGAGCCAGAACTGGGCTCTGGGAGATCGCTGGCATTTGTGGTGTCCGGCCCTGGGAGAAGGGCTCCCGCTCTGCGTTTTGCTGCTCCTGCTTCTGGTGCAGACGCCAGCTCGCAGGGTGAGCCGTGTTCGAGCTCCCCTTTGCGAGCGCTCCTGCCTCACTATGTGCTGTCTTGCAGGATGCCTTCGCTAGGGGGGAAGTGTTTATCGGGAGCAAGGAGAACAGCTACAAGGTCCTGGAAGGGCTCCCACCATCCACGCAGGGGAATCACTGGCAGCACGGGATAACCATCGTCACCCCGGACAGGAAATTCCTCTTCGCCTGTGAGACGGAGGAAGACCAGCTGGAATGGATTACAACCTTTCAGAAAGTTATAAGCAGGCCGATGCTGCCTCAGGAATATGCAGGTGTGTTTTCTCACAAGGCCTGGAGAACAAACTTGTCTCCCATTTATTTCCCGTTAGAGAACAGGATGAACGGAAAGGGTGATCACGGGTGGAACAACTTCTGCTTCTCTCTAAAATTCAGTCCATATGGAGAAGCCCTTCCCCGGCCCAGGGATGATGCAAAGCCTGCCCAAACAGACAGGGGTCCACACATGGAAGAGGGGGAGGGTGTCTTGCTGCATCTCCCTTAACATGAAGGGTTCATGTGCATGCAGTGCCTGGGGTGATGTCCACGGTGCTCAGTTATGAAGAGCTGCAGCAGGCCAAGGACATGGAGAAGAAATGTGCCCTCTCATGCTAGCAAGGTCTTGCTAGTCCAGGAGGGGCCCTTGGCGTGGAGGTGGTATTGAAGAGGGTTTATCAGGCTTTAGTGAGGCTTAGCCCCATCAAAGGGCATCCGCTTTGCTCAGGGTTCATGCTTTACCAGTCCATCCTGCCACAAGTTCACTGCTGAGCAGCATTTCCACTGCGCGACTGGGGTGTAGACAGTTGAGCTCAGCAGGGCCCAGGCTCTTTGTGGGCGAGTACAAATCGCGGCAGTGGTGTCACGACTTGCTGCGGATAATCCCAAACGGGTAATGGCAGCGAAAGGTATTCGCTGGCATGGGCTTTGTGTGCGTTCGCAGTTGTACATGAGCAGGCCTGGTGCACAGGAGTCCTGGCTAACGTCCCTCCGCAGGGTGGCTTTGTGCGAGTCTGTTGAGTGCCTAACAGGAGTTGTCTTGGTCCTTGTTTTAACTTTGTTTTCTTTATGGTCTTTGTTTCAGTGGAAGCCCACTTCAAGCATAAACCTTAGTTGGGACTGGGCAGACCTGAGGAATGAGCTTCTGTTTACAACACAACGTGGTTTTATTTGAAATGCTAAAAATAATTAATAATAATAATAACAACAATAATAATACTTCCCTTTCCCCTCGTCATTGACTTGATCATGTTGGAAGGACAAGAAGGACAGCTGCGAAATGTCAGAGAAGATGCTGGTCGATAACAAAAGTCATTTCTCTGGCTGTGCTGTGTTTCCAGCAGTGCCCAGGCTCCTCCACAGGCCTCATTTCCATGTGCAGCCGTTTTGTGTATCCCTCCGCAGTAGGTAATTCCCGCAGAGACCGCACGTGCTGCCAGGGTTGGCAGCTCTCGGTGACGTGCCACCAGACTGGCCCGCGGGCCTATGCTACCTGCAGTAACACAGACAGTCCCAAGCGCAGTGCGAAACGAGTTTTAGACCACACTTCCCAGGACGATGGAGACTGTGTCAGTGGCCCGTCTCAGGCACAGCGCTTTCTCTGGAAACCTGCTCCTTGACTGGTGCAAAACTAAAAGGGTTAACTGTTTGGAGGAAAGGAGAACATGCCTTTTTCTTCTCTCCTGTCTGAACACCCTTTCTGAAGCATTTCAGCAGCTGATTGGTTGGATGGTGAGTGGGGTTTAGAAACCTGCTTTTTCTCCTCTGCAATCTTTTGTTAATGTAGATTAGGGATGGATATAATCTGGTTCAGCTTTTGGATCTGAACTTTCCAGAGCTCTCAGCTGCCTGGGCTGCTGGCAGGGGGAAGAGGCAGCACTGACCTGGACTTGGACCTCCTCGGACGCTCTGACTCTTCCTTTAGGTTAGGCTGGTTCAGTCCATGCGGTAGCTGCTCTCAGGTGAGCTGACGTCTGTGGTTTGGCCAGGCTTTCGCTGGCGATCCCACAGTCCCAGCTCTCCACTAGTGTTTTCTCATGGGAATTGCTGAGACTGTGACATCCTAATGGGATACAGAGCATGAACCTAAAACCACAAAGGAAATAAATGTCATCTTCAAATGTAGGGAACAACAGCTGTAAACCAGAGGGGGAGTTTGCAGGTGACTGAGATGTGTCAGAAGGCAGCGTTTTGTGGTCTGCTGGCCCACGTGGTTCAGACCCCTCAAAAAGCAAGGAAGTGTAGCATCTTAGAGCAGCTTCAAACAAGGATCCTGAGAGGAAGTTTGCCTCCATGTCCTCCTTGTGGACAATATTTTCTGTGCAGTGCCCCAGCCACTTATATCTTTTTGTCCAAGTTGATGGCAAAGTGATGTGTTCTTCTGCCTTTGCAAAATGGGCAAAGGGAAATGGTCTTAACAGCCTAGCGTTCTCATGGCATTTCTTTAGACATAGACGGGTTGAACTGAGCGAGGTGCTAGCTAAGAAGCAACGGGCTGTACATGTGAGCGGTCCCAGCCAGGTGTCTTTACAGTTTGCCATAGGAGCACATGGACTCGAAGAACTTTGCACGTGCACCTCGTAGGAAGCTCAGACAAAAATGGAATAGTTTGGCTTACATGGTCTCATGATGTGTAAATGTTGCTAAATGACTGATGCTCCAGATGTTATAGAGGTAAATTATAAATAAATTACTTTTTAATGTAGGTGAACGTCACACCACGTAAGTGATGGTAATGTTATATATAGGCTAGTTTCAAACAGGATTTGATTTAAAAATAGCAGAAATTTGTGTCGTTGGCCTCACTATCTGCTTACCAAAGTGCACATCCAAGAAGTGCCCATTACCAACAGAGAAGCGTTACCTCTGACGAATCCCGGACTCCGCTCAGCAGATTCATCTGGCTGGCACGTAGAGGGAGAGGCAGGCCTGTCTGGGTGAGCAGGACAACGTACAGAGCTTGTCCGCTATCCCCTGCCCCAAGAGGGAACGGGAATATTCAGCACTTGCCTGGAAGTGAGCCACAAGCTTAACAAACAAAAAAAAAAAAAAAAAAAAACCCGAAGCTGTTGGCAGGCTCTCAACTACGCATGCCCAGGGTGCCCTGGCAGTACTTTCTGCAGTGGCCATGGAGAGACAAGCGTGACAGCCAGGAGGATGGAGCAGTGCTCTGAGCGCAGCCATGCTGGGAGGAACCGCAGACACAGGGGTGTGCTGTGAAGCCAGTACATCTTGCACAGCCAGTGTCATTGGAGCTGGACCTGCAGAGCCTCGGAGCGGGCGTTTCTGCCCTTTCACTGCCACATTGAGCAGTGATCCCCAGGTTGGTGCTGTGTTGTTGGCCTCAGTTGCTGGTCCCAGTGTGATGCCCGGGTGCTGCTTACGTGCTGCTACGAGGGCAGTGGAGCTGCACTTGGCTTCTTGCAGGCTGGTTCCCTGCAGCGCAACTGCTCTTGGATCGTGCCAAGAGCTGTGCTGGACCTTGGGAACAGCATCCTGGAGCCCGAGAAGAGAGAAACTTGCTGTGCCTAGAAGAGGAAGAGCTCAAAAGCCCGCGGTGGCAGCTGAAAGGCACTTGTGGCTGAGTTAGGGTGAAGACAAATGAAGGGACGAGCGCCCTGAGAAGGGCTGATCTGGCTTGGCATGCTCTGAGCAAGCCTTTAGCCCCCATCATGCCTCCCCTTGGGTGCCACAGGCCCAGCACGGAGGAGGGGAGCCTGGTGGCCACCAGCTGCATGGAAGTGCCTGGAGAAAGGGCCTTGGTTGGAAGCTTTGCTGAACCTGCTCCCAGCAACTCTCCCAGAGCCTGTCCAGCAGCGATGCTGCCCTGAATCACACCATGGCAAAGGCTCAGACACCCAAGGTGGGTTAAAGCAGTTTTTTTTACACCTTGCCCTTCCCTGTTCCCAGGTGTAAGAATAGGAAAATTGGGTGGTTGGCCCTGGATGGATGGCAGAGCCTTCCCTCAGCTGCAGGGGGACCCCCCCCCCCCCCCGCGCGCCAGCGGGGAAACCCCCCAGCTATTTGGGGCAGTGGGTAATGTGGAGCCTTGGCTGGGCAGTCCCGGCGCAGCTGCCTGGGGTGCTGTCTCCAAGCAGGAGAGGGCTTCCGTGCAGGGGGAGCAGGCTTGAAGGCCAGGTGCTGCTGCCCACCAAAGGGCATCATACCAAGTTACCTGGCATGACATGGTCATTATCCCAGCCAAAGGGCAAGGATCACTGTGGGGTATTTTGTAGCCATTTTGCATTGTCACATTGATTGAAAAGCTGGATTGTCTGAGTGGGATGCGGCAAAGCCCCAGCTTGGGTTGTGGGATTGGAGCTTCAGGTTCACTTATGCCAACAGGCCCTGTAAAACCGTTTCCACACCCCCTCCAGTGGTCACATCTCTTTCACCACCTTCTACCTATGATATCTTGCTTCTACAAAAACTGGTTGTTGCACTTTTTCAATAATTCTCTTAATTTTTTTTTCCTGGTTTTTTTTTGGGGGGTGGGGGAGGGGAAAAAAAGCTGCTCAAAGTGACATTCTAACAATGTTTTGACCACTGGAATTCCTGCAGTCAGAGGAAGTTGTGAATGAGGACGTTCTTGGCCCATCAGTCCAGGAACTGTACAGAACATGCTGAATTTTTATCTGAAAAAAGAAAAAAAACAACTGTGTCCAATTAGTAACAGAACATTGAACTGTCCGACGCATTTCTTAAGTTGGTGTTTGTAAACGAAAAGCCATCTCATCATTGTTATGTCACTGGTAAGAAAACTGTGGTACTAAATGTCATTTGATTGAATAAATTATTATGTCAAATCAGTGGAAGTGTCATATTCAGTCGGGGTAGCACTAAGACAGGGTTTTGGGGTGGGAGGGAACAGAAGTAGCTGGGGTTCAGGTAGGGGCCATGCTGGCCCACCGTTCCCCCTGCCTGGCAGCCAGGGGGTCCCCGACACCAGCACCCAGGAGGGAGGTGGGAAACGGACCCTGCGGGAAGACTTCATGAAGCGCCCTCCCCGCCCTGTATTCTATCTAAGCATGTATAAAGCTGGTTCATATAAACATTTTATTCACACTCTCTCTGCCTAATTAGGTATCTAAATGCTTCATATAAATATTTTATCTACACCTATATAAATGTGTATGTGTATATATACATATTCACAGTCTATGTATATACACACGGTATGTACAAATATACATATATACACACATATAGAAATATATACATGTGTATGTATGTACATTTGTCTATAGGTGCACATGTAGACACTACATGCACATACCAAAATTTTTAATATTCATGTGTGAATTATATCTGCATGTACATGCATGCATGAAAGTATAATTTTTTTATATATGTAATATATAATTACAGTATATAATACTGTTACATTCTATATTTGATATATATTTATTAATAGATGCAAAGTCAAAACTATATATGCACACCCACTGGTCTTTATTGGTTCCCATACAGGAGTGCAGTATGGCTGCACATGGCATCTTGCATTGATGCTGTTCACCCCAATCTCAAAGCCGGCTCAAGAGCAGGAGGATAACGGTCGCAGCACCAGCAGAAACGCTCTTCTGCAGGCCTGCACAGGCTGGGATCAGGCCAGCGTACGCACTGCTACAGCACAAACCTGTGCAGTCACTTTTAGCCATGTAGGCAGGACACAGGAGGGGCCACTGCTGCTCCCAGCCACTGGACAAGGCTGCTTTCTGCTTGCTTTGTATCAGATACACATTACAGAGGACATCAAAATGATAATTAGCCTAGTTAGTTATCATCAAATTAGGTCCAGACCTGCAGAAAAATAATAAGCAAAGATAAAGCTGCAGTACTGAGATCCAGATGATCTGCTGTCAAATCTGGCAGGGAAAAAAACTAGCAAGGAACACAAGATCTCTGCTCATAAAACTCTCAGAAAGCAGCAATATGTCATTCATCCTGGTATAAAGTGTTTATTTGAGACTTCACAATTAGCACAAAGTCTTCCTTTCAATGCCTTTTCTTTTCCATACAGTCAATAAGTTTGTATGATTCCCGCCCTCCCCTATGCATGATTGCTGTTTATTAATCTAAGCCTTTTCATTTTCACCATGAAAAAATAAAGCGTTTCCCCGTTTCATCTGCTCGCTGTACCACTAACATCCGGTGTGCTGCATTAAAGAGGAGGAGATGTAGAACTGCTATGCCTACCACTGGGGTTGAAGTTACTCCATTATTTATTGATTTATTCTTTTTACAGGAAGTGTTAAATGAATCAATCACCCAAGAAAAATAAATATATCATAAAGAACAAAAAGTCTGCAGTATCCCTTTTCTTTACAAAGAGCTGTGGTTCAAACACAGACTGTGGCAAATCATTTCATTCACTTATAAAACGCCTTTACGTACGCTTATAAACTCAGACTGAAAAAGAATCTGTTCCAAAGGAGTAGAGCCACAAGCCAGAGGTATTTTAGATACCCTATTTTTACAGCTAGGCCAGAGAGATCCACATGGAAGCCACTTACCTGTGTCCCACTGATCAGCTTTTACTCAAAAGCAATTCAATTTTGTGCTTTTCCAAAAATATCAGCCAAACACATGCGGGCTCAGCCAGGGCCCAATCTTAAATAGGCTGAAAGGCAGCATGAATAGCATGCATGTTGACTCACTGCAGTAAAAGTGAGTTCTTGGTATCAGTGTCTCAGATGTGCATCTCTAATTATACTCTTTGGCTCATCTCACAATGCTTTTGGCACCAGCCTCACAAATAAATTATTCAATTAATCACCCTGCCTTTCAAGATGTTCCTTGGAGATGGCAGAGGTCAAGGAGGCTTTCTTGTAACAAAGATGTTATTGGTAGACCTTGAAGTACAAGACCCATATTTATGCTTTATTGAATTACTGTGCAAAAGGGAGTACTGCATCAGAAACCGTAGAAGACTATATTTTAATCAAAGTCACCAGCCGCCGTATCGGAAACCTGCTAACAATTGCTCCGATTGGTTCTTTTGGCTATTTTTTGTTGGTTTCTTTTTTTTTTTTTTTTTTTTTACATAAATAATATAGACCGAACATTATAAACATTTCAGCAACCATTTCTAAAAGAGCGGAGGAGCCCTTTTAGGCGCCAAGAAACAACTGCAGGATTCAAATTCCAAAACTGTCTTTGGAGTCATCGAATCATCAGATTTACACGGCACCCGAGGACAAAAATATTCAGTCAAGTTCGATAGGACTGCTATCTTCCTGACCATCTTCTGTGTCATCATCTTCTCCAGTTCCCATCAGACTGTTTAAAAGATTTCCTACATTAAATATAGGACAGTCAGATTTGACAGTTTTACATTCTCATTTCATAATCTTTAACTATTTTCCTACTAGCCTGCTAGGGTGCAAATTTCAATAAAGAATACTCAGAAAATCTTTTGATGAAATAAAAGTGATTCCAGTAGACACTGGAATTCCCACACCTGTTTCCACTAGGATCTTGATAATGGATGGCTCTATTTTGATACTGTTCCTTTTTCTAAGAATACACTTATGTATGTAGCTGCATCTT